AGGTCATTGGTAGAGATATTTTTTTGTTGTTTGATAGTGGAGGATTTGGAGTTTCTGGAGTTTTTGCCTGGCATGGTCAATGACAATAGTACACTAAACAATTATAATAGCTAATTAATGTGATAGGTAGACAGTTACTTAATGAATGTTAGTAATTAATAAATGTTAATTGATAAGTTAGAGAACAAATCAAAAGTAAGGTTACTTATTATTAAAAATCAATCAATCAACTTATTACTAAGAATCAATCAATCAATCAATCGACTAGATAATGATACAGTATTAAATCTCTATCAGTTCAATGAATCAGTAAATTAGTGGTCATTTAATAATTAATTATTATGCTATTATATGATAAAACAATTATTATAAACAAAGCATTATCTATAAATATTTGGTCTTGAGGTACTGAAAGAGTGGAGGTAGTATAGTATTGGAGGTTTGTGGTGTAAAGTTCTTTTGTTTTTCCTTAAAGCCACGTTTTTTGGTTTTGGTTTTGGTTTGTTTTTGTTTTAAAGAGGAAGCGTTGCTGTTTGATAGATTTGAATGGAGAAGATTTGAATGAGCTCACCAATCATCTCCTTTGGAGTTTGGAAAGGATGAGATTTGGGTGGGGGTTTAGTGGAGGTTGTCCAATCAGCTGAGTGGGAATTTAAATTCAGGCTGACTAATCAACTGGGTTGTTTAAATGGAGCTGGGTGATTTATATGGAGACTATCAATTCTCCGTGAGTCTCCTTTGTTCTCCCCAATTGGTGGATGTTTAGAATTATTTTTGGTGATTTGATTTAATTGGAGACTGAAGACATCATTCCAGTTCTTCCATCATCGGAATTCACAATCAATCTCAGTTTCAAAAGGCAGTTTTCCTGAATAAAAAGCTTTTTCATACCTCTTCTTCTCGTCTAGTCCCCCTTTTTTTCCCCTCCTTTAATCACACTTTTCTCAAGCTGCCGTTTAACTTCCAGAGTTAGAGGGTAAAAACATAAATTAAGCCGCTGCTGCTTAATCTCCACATACACCCCTTCCGCTCTGGAGTCTTCGCTTTTTAAGTTGTTTCTGACTCAGGTCCACAGTGAATCTTTGAGCCGTTTATCCGCTCCTTCCTCCCACTGAAAAATGCACCGCTGATCTATAAGGAGGAGCCGGGGGAGACACTCACCTGCAGGTAAGCTTGCAGTCCTTGCCGGCAGTTGCCGCAAACCCACAGCTCGTTCGTTCCCCGTGTTGGCTTCCCTCTCCCAAGACCAGGCAGATTCTTTAGACCAGGTAGCTTCTTTTCACTAGGCAGCTTTTTCCTGTCCAGGCAGCTGAAAAATCGCTCGATCACCTTACCCAACTAAGGGAAGCTGCTCAAGATGGGATTCCTGGACCCTGGCACTCCAGATCCTTATGCTTTGATCCTTTGTCCGAATCCTTACGCAGCTACTTTGTAGATCCTTTGTAAATCTTGTTACTTTTGTTACTTCTACTCCTGTCTCTGAATTTAGTTACTGGTACTTTTCTCTCCTTCGGGCTCCCAGCGGCGTGATTATGCATTTGCCTTGGTCGCCATCTTCGGTGTAAATAATTGCAGCTGATCAAGCTTTTAATCCTTATCTTACGAGAACTCAAAGAGGCAATTATTGAGCATCAATCCTGATTAAATGATGTCCATTAGGACATGAAAAGTTGAAATTAACTAAATAACATCTTTTTGCTACCTGGTTGCTCAGTATCATCACCCTCACATTTAGGATACGATAGTTGAATTCAAAATTGTCACAGGGAAGACAAAGATGAGGTATCCGTATAACCATATTAAATATTGTTCATTCAATTTTCATCCAGACTGTACTCATCCCATTGTGCTGGGATGTGACTTCCCAGGGTTTCCTTGCTTCCCCCTTCTGCAGGACACAGCAAAGAGTATTTCAGGCTCTTTGCCTGAGGACGAGAGTAATAAGTATTTTTTGTGCTTATTGCCAAAGAAGGGGGAAAAATAGAGATAGCCAGAGATGCTCCTCAAGGATTTTTCAGGGGTCCAGCTGAACGTTCAAAGCAGTGTCAGGGTAAAAGAAAAACAGTGCCGATGCCTAATTCAAGTGCTATCTCATGACAAATCTTCTGCTCCAGTCTGTGGGCTATAACTTACTGTAAAATAGATTTAGTAATCAATCGTGTGGAAGGACTGCCTGAAAAGATTAAAAGCCCCTCTGCTCCTTCCTTTCTCCCCCTCCATTCTCAGGACAACTGAGCTGCCAATCAAACGGGGAAGAGGCAGGGGAGAGGAGGAAGACAAGATGGCTGTCTAGGAGTTTTTCCACCAGACGCCTCATGAAGAAGCTGAATCAACAGAGCCCAGGAATCAATTAAAAACTAACTAAAAAAAAATAACAGGCCTGATGAGAAAGAGGTAGCAGCTGAGGAAAATGGGAAGGGGAGGGAGGGAGGGAGGGAGGGAGGAAGGAAGGAAGGAAGGAAGGAAGGAAGGAAGGAAGGAAGGAAGG